AGCAACCAGCACGTATGTATTCGAATTGGCGTATACATACAGCATATGGAATTAAAACAAGAGAATAATGAATAGAGCAACGAATAGAGTATAAGTCATGTTCATCACAGATGAATGAAAGGGAATACGAATAGAGTATAAGTCATGTTCATCACAGATGAATAGATGAAAGGGAATGAAATGCACCTCGAAACGAAGCCAGGATGTGCAGCATTTTTTGTTTGGGAGATCTGCACCATACGACCTATTGAAGTTGCATGTTATCTTCCACAATCTCGTGATATTCTAATCTTCCATGTTAGTCAACTGAATGAACGTGTGTTCACTCAGCCTTCAAGTCGCAATACGGACCACTGAACAAACTGACGACTCCCGATGCATGACGAGTGGGTCAGAGCCCACACCTTCCAGAGTGGGTTAATACCACACTGGTTGTTTTTCCGAATATCAGAAGGAATGTCGGATCGTTTTGGAACGCTGGATGTGTGAGTGAGATACGTAGAGCAATGCCTCAATTTGGGTGCGTCCGCGCAACAAATACGGAAGGGCAGCTTGGAAGCGATTCACAGAATGACCTAAATGGAGGATTTGGATGCTTTCCCCCGCCCAACCCTTTATTGATGATGATTATTCCCCTTTCAAGATTGGTCTACTCTGACCGGCGTCTGTCAGTCAGGAACATCCTGTGTATTCTTTTCGCCCCTGTGTTCGCAGACCAACTAACTTGGCTAAAGGGCGAAGACATATGACCTATCTCAAGCACAGAGTCAACAAGACTCATAAAAGATGAGATGACTGTTTTACATCGCCGCCTGCTGCTCTAGATGTCATGTACTCTGTGGCCCACACATGCGACTATGACTGCGAATTTAATAGAAATCAAACCAGCCTTTGATCAAATCCTTAGGAGCCGAAAGCTTCGCCTTGCGGTGGATTGGCAAAAATCAATGATGTTTTTGTGTTATTATTAATGCGTTTGTATTTTTGCGCTCGTCTTGTTATCCTTCGACAATGCAGCACTTTGTCGTAAGCCGGACGTGGTTGTTAATTAGGTATGGCGCTCCGTCAAAGTTCAGATGCCGTAAGGTTGGGTTTTGCGGCCGAATACTATGGGACGCAGTCAGTTGGCCGGTATGCATGCATCAGCTAATTTAAGATTACAACCGTTAGCGTCGTCCGGCTGCAACAGGTTCTGAAAACTTTTCGAAGAAAAGGCAAAAAAGTTGTACTGCAATTTTTTTGTACCATATTTGGGGAACCCCAGCGACCGTTAGCAAGCGTAACGTACCGCCCCTATTTGCCACCGGTGGTGTATTTACTGGGAGAGCCTTCAAGGAAATTGAACGAATTTTTAATGGATGTACGATGGCGCACCATTGGTGTTAACAGTTGCGTTGTCTTCTGTGATTATGATGAGGACAACACAGATGTTGATGCTACCGATAGTGCCTGTTTCAGACGTCACCAATATGCTGAGGGTTAGCGCAAGCTTTAAAAGTACCAATTGGAGCGATTTCAAGGATGGATGGAAGACCGATGCGCGGAGATATCAACCGATGTGTGTGACGGGTCCATTCCATTTTACTTGAAGGAAATTTGCATCTGAATCTATCAGCAAGTTTCTCTCTGACTTGGACGACGTGGAATATAATAGAGGCTTTCACTGGCCACCAAATTGATGGTCACCTACTTTCCTGAGCTGAGCATTGGGATATTTATTGTTTTGCCAAAGACTTCGAGCGAGTTAATCACTACTTCAAAAGCCATTGAATCATTAGCAATCTGCTCTATTCGGTTGCGAACCTTGCACGGAGTGCACGCATGCATGGGTTCCCTCTTTCCCGAAAGGTATCTATTATCGGAGCTCCACAGAAATCAACAATTGGTCCTTTATTGGTCAAGTTATACGTCAACGATCAGCGACCAAAATCCCCCTTGTTGGATAATTTTGCAGGCAAAATGGGACTGTGGAAGATGGTGTGAGTCACCGGCACGATGTACATTCCATCCACCGTTCGCTTTAACTTTGCATTCGCTAACAAGCTTGCCAAAGTGGCTCGTCCTGTTGCCAAGTTTCGCCTGGTCGACGGACAGGGAGCATTAAATGGAGGAAAATCATGCAGATAGTGTTAATTTGGACCCAGTCTTTCGCTAAGAGACCGAAACTTATCGTGACGCTGCGGTTTGTGCACTCTGGTAACCCACTTAGCCGTACTGGAGGATGCGATGTCGATACTCACAGGGTCTCTCCCACGAAGATTACCGATGAAGAGTGGTCTGATAAACTATCCTTGCCCTCCTGATTGGGATATGGAACATGTTTAACAACTTTGGCGACGCCATTTCACTTTTAAAACTGATGGCACCATACTGTCATACCATTGTGCCGCATATTGTAAGCACACCACCACCGCCTCAGTGTGAACGATTTTATTTTGCCGTTCCACCACGAATTTCTTCCCACTGGTTCCTGTGTCAAGAATGTGTTCATCTTCGTTGACGGCGTACTTAATGCAAACGATTCGGATTATTTCAGACGTCATCTTTCACTTTTCAAAGAAGCAAGATTGAGTCCTGTAATACAAATAATGGAAAAAATATTGTTCAGCTGTATGGTCTTTTAGGTGCCTAAATGCCATGTCCCCTGAAAGAACATGAGGCCTGAGATACTTCCCGAACCTAGACAAGAGCATTCGAGATGCTGAGGTCGAGTTCGAACCACAGACCCTCCGGTTGGTAAGTTTGCGCCTTAACACTGAGATAACTCCATTTTCATACGTTCTGATACCACATAAGCTTGAAATCTGCGGTATTCAAGCAAGCATTTTTCGCTGGACCGCAGGTTCCTTTTCCAGCCGGATGTTTATATCAAGGTCTGATCAATATGCTCTTGTTTCACGACGTTCCCCTGTTTCTCGCTTGTTTTGGTGATCCTTCTGTCGTCTTGCACTACCCAGCTGTATCTGCGAACGACATCAAGTCTCAGAACTGTCCAGGTAGCACATCGCAGATGGAGCTTAATGCCGCGAAACGATGATCACTCTTCCCGAACTAGAACAAGTGCTTGTATACTCTGTGATAAAGATGTGAGCAGTGTATACGGGAAAAGGAGAAAATGAACTTGGGTTGCTCATGAAAGTAAGGCCCAAGAAGGTCTTTCGAATCTGGCTTTCTCTCAATGCTTTTGGGATCTTTCAAAAAATCTGTTCAGAATACCTACACTGTCCCCCGGATATTCACCCCCCTGCATTAATAAAAGCGTGGGGAACTTATTGTTGGGGATCAGACCTTGATGAATCTTACAGCATTCTTTTGGCTGATTATTTTGTATCCACCCTCGTGTTCCCGCCTACTGTCCAATGGCGCGTGTTACTGACATTCCGTCGTCCATTATCAGGTTCCGACCAAACAGTTTCAATTATCTGTTTCAGACATTTTCAGTTTCCCTGACACTTTGCGGCATATCATCCAAACCAAATGGAGGGCAAGCGCCAAGGTCGCGACACCTGGGCTCAGTTTGATGATGTTGATTATAATCCGACAACCAGGACAATTCATGAGACCCGAGCTGGATTTCCAAGTGAGCGAAAACCGTCTCCGTCCAGTCATTATTTTGGGGATTAGTGGTACTTAACCGCCTTCGAATCTGCTCTCATTTACCTCCGGGTGATTCTTAATTCGGAGAACTGTGCTGGGTTTTTTATTGTTGAGTCATCATCATCATAGCTTATGAGTCATGCGCCTACACTTGTAGGTCACATATTGGACCGTAGTTTTTTAATCTTTGACCCATAAATGAGTAATCGAATAAAAAACTCACGTATTCGCAACCAGTTGCTTTGAATTTAACGACGATTGCGTGTGCGCTTTGATAAATAAGGCAGGACTTGTAGGCTACACTCAGAAAAACAATCCACAATGCATTTGGCGTGCTCTGTGGCTCGTGACTTCCACGGGTGGGCAACTCTTCGCTCTCTGCTCGATCGAAGGGCGCGTCACGTCCACGGGTGGGCAACTCTTCGCTCTCTGCTCGATCGAAATGGCCTAGTTCATCGTTGGTTTCCACGTGACTTGTCCCGTCGTCACTGAGGATTCTAAGGCATGTTGAAGGCTATCTGTGTGTAAAATTCGTCTTCTAAACCTGGGTGTAAGCATTTCACTGACGTATTCCGGTAAGACTGCACTTACAGAACTTGAAGAAATCTGCACTTATGCAGTGCAGATTGGAAAAGCAACCCCAGTCCGTCTGAGCAAAGTGCTACGTCCGCTACGGTTCAGTGCATGTTTTTGACTCGTGCATATGCGTATGAAGTGTGGTGTGCAAGCCTCCTACAATGTCGGTTTCCATTCTCAGCGGTTGGACGGTGGAAGTCTTACGCCGCAGCGTTTTAGCCGGGGTCTTGACTATATGCCACCTGGATGTCTCGTCTATAATGTTCTTGTGTTCAAGTAGAGAATAAAGCTGACGAGAACTCAGGGACTATGCGTACCTGATGACACCGAAGAAGGGGAAAACAAGGTCGTGGGCTGTCGAATTTTCAGTGGCATGTTTTGTCAAGAGTAGGTTGTGCTCGTCTCCGAGACAATGTCTCTAGATTCGAGTCGAGTCACTCTCCGCGGATACCTCTCAGGAGGGCGGCAATTACCTCGAAGAGACGCCTCCCAAGAAAGCCTACAACAGAGGGTCCCCTGCCAGATTTATATGGGATCCCTTCCAATAGAAGGAAGAGCCCGAAAACAAGGTGTAGAAGAGTTTCGAGAAACTTATGAACGGTTTCCATCAAAATATACTATGATATCTCGAAAATCGTTCAAACTGAAAAATAAGACAGCCTTCGTGCAGCACGTCCAGTTACAGAACAGCCTAAACGAGAGATTCAGCTGGGATTCGGTTGAACCTTCCGTGAAAACCAAATTGATATACAACTGAACGTATTGCGCGAATGCATCCACATTTTTATCATCAGAATAGCATATCGTTCGCAGGATTAGTTCAGAATTCTTCGCGAACTGGTGCGAACCCAATGCCCAACGGCCGACAGATTTCTCGTTTGCGTTCCGGCCAAACAATGACTGCGTTGTTACCACAGGTTGGTCGTTCGCGTTTTAGAAAGAATCACGTTGACCCATTAAGCAAGGCGCGAAGAATCCATACAGCATTTGTTTTGTCCACAGTAGGTTTTATTTCGCGCTGCTCTGTTTTAGCCCGTTGTTTGCGAACTTCTTCTCAGCCAGGTTTTATAGTGAAAACAACGCTTTCCCTGATACATGTCACAACTAGCGTAGGTCGGTAAGCGATGCAAATACTTGCTCGTGCACCATGTCATGGCGGATACACTGTAATCATACAAACTATGAAATACAATCAAATTCTTGAAGACGGAACTGATGACAATCATCTTTTCAGTACCACGGCGAAGCACCAGTGCCAACACTGGTGTCTTTGTCTGGTGATGGCGGTAGGCTTCAACACAATGTAGATATCTGATATGCCTCCTTCCCGCCACTGACCAAATGCTGCTTAGGAGGGGTAGGCGGAGTTTGTATTGCAAAATACCGGCTGAGCACTATCTGTGAATGGCATGAACCTAAGACGAAGCTGATTTTCGAGTGGAAACTTTTCAAGTGCTTTTTGGACGACTCCGAAGAATGTTGCCGGATGTTGCACGACAATATCGCCCAGTTTATTGAGTGAATCGGACAATGTCTTTTGTTAAGCAATAGACGCAACTCATTTAAAAGTGGAGATATTTAGCACAATTCGTACTTCATCCGATTCGGAAGATAAGTTGCGTGATATCAGCTATACATTTTCCCCCAACATCATTTCCAAAAGTTTCCACAATTTCCCGTACGCGATTTCTCAGTCATCGACACCGATCCCCATAAACTACCCCTGAAGAGGGTAGACCATAAGGCCCACTTTGCTTCAAAGTCGTGCGTTTCGGTTGTGAAAATTTCACATGGATTATCTCTCCAAAATCCCAACCGTGACTCATCGAGTACAGACTTGGTTGTACCATTCATACGACTGCAACCAATGGCCATGATGCCCTGTGAAGTCTGATGGACACGGCAGGCTAAGGAAATGGAAGGAAAGCCGGTAATGCCCGAAGATTATCTCAGTTGATCCTTGCTACCGGTTCTTGGAAATCTTCGTATGGTTTAAACCATCAATAATAAGAATGAAGCGACCATCTCGAATACAAAACGCCCCAACCACTGGGTCGAATACGTCGAACAGTTACCGTGGCCATGATGTGCTTCTCATCTGGTGTTCACAGCTGAAGTAGAGCCCTGGATGATGAACCTGGAACCCCCTACGGTCTCGGAAATTTGTGACTACGTACGTCCTCTCATGCTCAACTGGGCTTCTGGTCCGGTTGACCTTCCACCCGCATTATTCAAAGATGCGAGTGAAGCGTTCAGTCAACGCTTGTCTGCTTCTTCTGTCTGCATTTGGGAAAGGGAGACTGTCTCAAACAAGTGGATGAGAACCGGTTGGTGATAGCTCCCATTTTCGAAAAAGGGGCTCATGGTGAATGTGGTAATCACGGAGGATCAGCTTGACCCGGTCGTGATGAGACTGTTGGCGTCACGTGTGCTTCGTCACCTTATGGTGGCTCGTGAAACACTGAATTGAGAACAGCAAGCGACATTCAAGCCTAGTAGAAGTTGTGTTGACCTTCATACTTCGTCTGGTGCTAGAACAAATCATACGTACAAACGACCCTAAATTTTAGTGTTCTTGGATTTCCAAGGCGCATTCGACTCGGTTGACCGGTTTTTTCTCCTTGACACACTTACCCACCAGGTAATGCCCCGGAAGTTCGTGAACGTATAAGTTCTTTGTATTCTCAAACTTTCTTACGTGTGAGATTATACGGAGAGCTCTCCAAAGGCCTCCATACACAAAACAGTGTCCGCCGCAGGTTGTCAAATTTTGAACAGCTACAGGGAAGTCGTTATCTATTGCTGAAATAGACTGTTAGCCGCTCTCGGTTTCCTGGAGCCTTGTTGCGTCACTGTCAGGACGCGCCCAGACATGGAAAAAGTATACTTGCGGAGAGTGACGCATTCCCAAGATCACCATCGGTACGACACGTTCGGAAAGCAGGTGTGTTGGAGGAGCTCACCAAACACGGCTTAGCAACATAAGACCAGTGAAGTGGGGCTACAATTGTTCGCGACCGGAACACCGCCACTGGCTGTACAGAACGAACAAGTGAACGACCATATTTGGCCATTTAGTTGTCCTATATATTTACTCAGAAGCTCTGTATGTTTTGTCCTGACAATACAGCGGTGTCCCGAGTTCTCTGTCTTCTCCTTATTGCATGGTCTAGCAGGCTCAATGCAGGCGTAACCAACAGACGGCCACCCACAATACAACAGTCGCCCTGCGCAGGCCACTGGGAACAGCTGTCGCCTTCGTGTGGTGGTCAGGTTCGTATGCTACAGTAACCCCAATTGGCTACACAGCCTCAGCGGGGTTCAATGATCGCAGTTACACTGAGACCGACAAACCACATTACTGCGAAGCAGCGCATTTCGTGGCAATTAAGGGTAACGCTTCACGGCTTACTGCAACAAAAATGCTGTGATCTTTTCCTAGGTCGACCCTTGCCCAGTCGCGTTCTCAATGGCGCTCGTGCATCCAAGCTATCGCCTTCAGTGCATAGCTCCCTTCCCAACACCCCGCTTGACACTCCACTGACAGTGCTGTATTTGAGCACCAATTTATCAGCTCCGGGCTCCACTGCGCAGCTACCTCCCCCCACCTCCCCCAACTCGTCGATGGATGAAATTGTGGCAGCTACAACCACTGTACGACAAGTACGCGGTTCTTACAGGTGATAATGATGTTGATGATGAATCCGATCTTTGTTTCTTAGAACTTGTCTGGTGTCGTTGAAAAATTCAAGAGTCCGATATGGCGGCAGGCTACTTGCCTAGCGCCTTCCTACCTTAATGTATATTGAACGTTGTGGTACCAGAACCCAGTCACTAAGTCCTATCTATTCCTTGAATAATTTGTTTTTTTTGGCTGTGAAAATTGAATGCCTCGTGGTCAATCAAACAGCTCTACTGCCTTCCTCTTGCTCAGGTTTTCAACCGTTCCAAGACAGTCGCAACCTTCAGCCGTGCCAATACTCCGCCTCGGACTGTGGGATTGGCTTCACAAGTGTCTGGCTATGACGAATCGGTTAGTTTCGCTTTTTTTCCAGGCTAACGACCCTATCCTACGAAAGGGATTTCCCCTTGCTCTCGCCCCCCCCCTCCGCAACTGTGCCCTTATTACCATTCTGTTTCGTAATTCTTCTTAGCGATGACTGGGCAACGTTACCTTTGTGAAAACTATCCGAACGGTGTCGCTTTTGGCCCTTAGAGAGGCAGCATAGTGGCCGGGACCTTTGGTGTGTGTGTGTGTGTATGTGTGTGCAAACCGGAGAATGGACATATGAATAGACCAGGCAACTATCTATCTGGTCTGATGGAGAATGTAGACACTGTCAACCTCCACAGATCTGCTAATGTCTTGGAAGCAAGGCAGTCGCTTCTGCATAGGCGCCTCGGGACCGACGTGCATTCGTTCGACTATGCGATCTTTTCTACACATAACTACCGTGGAGTAATGTGTTGCTCAGGTTTAGATACGGTCGATCGAGACCTCGACCCACGGACTTCTTAGGGGCCCACACAATTTCCCCTCTATTAAAGCAGCACACTCGTACCCATTAAATTTCAACCCTCTGAGGATGTCATCCTATAGTCCTTGAAGGGGACCAATCTCGGATGCTCACAGAGGATCACATGCTCCCACTGTCCGAGATGCAGCCGTGTTCATTTCAAGTTCCGCTGACTCATCTTTGGTCACGCAAAGCGGTCGATCGTTTCGCATGACCCGTGTACAAGACAAATGGGTGGAATGGTGACACGAATAAACACTGGTCACGTCTGGTTCCATCTGTCCGTTGCATTCCTCGACGCTGATTGGATTAAAACCACCGCATGTTTGATTTGGTGTGAAAGATCCGTTCAGTTTTCATCGGTTTCCTCCCAGGTGAATTCGTTTTAGATTAGATCGTTTGTGGTTGGTCCCGAGGACATCTACACCTATCGCATCACACATCTGGACAAGTTATGCACTCAGTAGTTTCCGATAACGTCTCGAGTATTCGGCTGTATCCTCTCAGTCGAATCCCATGACTGTAGACACTGCCGCCAGGAATCGTCGATGCGTAGCTCTCAATTTCCGACTTTTTCATCTGTATAGATCTGATCCGTCTGAAGACGGGGTGTGGCATGTTGTGTCCCTTAATTTTTCTGCACTCTCGTCTTCCCAGAAACTAGTTTGGGGACATCTGTCTTTGGCCAGTAAGGCCAACTGCACCATGCAACATCTCTAAGCACTCAAGGTTCAGCTGTAGGAACCTTTCGGTGCCTAGCTGCTATGCTATCAGAAGGAAGCACGAGGGCTGAGATACTGCCAGGTTGCCCAAGCCTAGACAGGGGTCGGCTTCGAACCACGGACCTTCGGGTCAGTAACTTCGCGCTCTAATCACTTGAGCCGTCCCGTTTTATGTATCTTGTAAGTTGTATTAGTTTCGGATGAAGTCAGTGCACGAACCTGTGAGGCTCGGGTCGCGTTGAAGCGGTATATCTGTGAATCTCAATTAATGTATGTATCAGGTTACAGTACGGGTTGTTTTGTCGTATGGCTCGGAGTCTTGGACTTTCACTGAAGCGAAATGGAGACGCCTTCTGGTGTTCGACAACCGTTGTCTCAGAACCGTAGCTCGTATGGGTTGGTATCGACGATTCTGTTTTGAGGCAACCAGAAAACGAGTGTTTGTTTGTGCCCAATTCAGAATGGCACGAGCAGATATCTGGGGCGACCTGGTAGATCGGGTCGCGTTGAAGCGGTATATCTGTGAATCTCAATTAATGTATGTATCAGGTTACAGTACGGGTTGTTTTGTCGTATGGCTCGGAGTCTTGGACTTTCACTGAAGCGAAATGGAGACGCCTTCTGGTGTTCGACAACCGTTGTCTCAGAACCGTAGCTCGTATGGGTTGGTATCGACGATTCTGTTTTGAGGCAACCAGAAAACGAGTGTTTGTTTGTGCCCAATTCAGAATGGCACGAGCAGATATCTGGGGCGACCTGGTAGAGGTTCTTTAGGGAGATTACGAAAAGTCTGGCTGTCGGTGCTACTCACCCTCCAGTTTGGGGACCGCGCGATCCCCACTGCACCTGGTCGGAGGCGCTGCAAGATATGACTGCCAATCGATGTGAATGGCCTTTTTGTTTTCCGTTCCATCCAGATGGCCTGGATGTGTAGACAGTAAGTGTGGCACTAGTTCCCTTACTCATCCACCCTTATAGTTTTCTTCACAATGAGGCTTTCAAATAAATTGTGGTTGTACGGTAGCAGCCATCTTCCACGAAGAACACTTATATTCTTTTTGATGTTGTTGACGGGCTTTTCAAGGTCACACTCGCGTTTTCGTGCAGATCTCTCGCGACATTATGCTTCCCACGTGTGCAACAAGTCTGGTTTTCTATCGGTGTTCTGTCCGTCTCTCGTTTGCAGTCTTCTTCAAATGCCAACGCACCACTCTTGACAGAATGGCCACATCCCCCGGTCAGCAATCGTGCCCCTATTCCACCACCGGTTGCCCCAGCGTTGGACCAGTCCGCCAACCCACCGGTTCCCGATCCATGGGTGATCACATCAGAGCAGAAGGCCTACTATCTGGCCCAGTTTCTACGCCTTCAACCGGATCCACGTTCCAAACTGAGTGGTTTACAGGCCAAGACATTCTTTCAGCTGTCCAAACTACCAAACACGGAACTCTCGGACATATGGTATGCACGTTTTGTCGATTGATACGATTGATATTTGAGAAAGAAACCTTCGGTTTTTCGCAACTGATCCACGATTGGCAAACTAGTCCAGTTGCCCGGTGCAACCCTTCCCGTTCAACAGCTTGCGGAGTGAAGCGACTTAAAGACGCTCAGTAAGTGTGCTGCCAGCGAATCATAAATAGACGTCGGATCAATATCTGCCCTGTTCGGTTGAACTTTCGAGACTAGACTGACGGATTTCGCCTGAGTGTTGCACTGTGTCAAATTGTACGAAACTTTCCACTTATACACTCATCTGCATACCTTTTCGGTTTTGACTGGAACTTAGCTGAATCTCTCGCTTATAATATTCTCGATCGACTGAATGTGTTGCACCAGCCCGCTTCATGTTACACTTGCTACGATATTCGAGATATCCTAATATACACCACTCGTTGGTTACTGCAAAACTCTTCCACAGGCCACGGTGAGATGGCCAAACTGATTAGAGCGCGGATTCACTGACCGGAAGGCCCGTGGTTCGAACCGCACTTCTGAATCTTGACTTCCCCTGTCTAGGCTTGGGTAACTTGGAAGTATCCCAGCCCTCGTGCTACCTTCGGATGGCATGGCAGCTAGGTACCGAAAAGGTGTTACAGCTGAACGACCGATTTCGCCCTTCTTGGGACTCTTCAGGTATGCGGATGAGTGTATTTCGCTAATTTCGTAAAATTTGGGTTCAAATGAAACGAAGTTGACGGGTACTCGAGAGCTGAGCCTACCTGATGAACCCCAAAAGGGGTGAAACCGGTCATGGGCTGTCCGACAGTTTTCAGCAACCTTATGAGTAGTGCATTACGTCTATGAACGAAGTTTTGCATGGAGTCAAAGGTACACAGCTCTTGATTTAAAAGCCAAAAGGATTCGAACCCGGAAGTAATTTTCGATAGCTATATGTGAATAAGCGGTCTTAGTTTATATCCTTTCGCACCTGGCTTGACTGCCGCTGGTACCCTCGATTTCTGTGGAAAACTCCTTGTTTCAGATGCTGGTACTGATGCCCCCTTGGTTTCCGCTGTCCTTCCACAAAGCGCCCTCTTCTGGTATGGCGGTTTCAAGCTCAATAACAATGCATTTTCTTAGATTTTTCGGATGTTACCAATACATTGTAAGACAAGAGGACAATCAGCCAGGTATCTAAGTGACTCATTGATCCATTAAAACCCACTGAATTATTGATAGCTTGAGTGCCAGGTAGGCACACGTGAGTTTTTCTGAACACGTAAACTCAGTTGCTCAGTATAGGTACCACACCTGGTCACTTATCCAAGTAGACGGCTCTAAGCTGAGTATTTTTGGGAAGTTACATATCCATCTAACCGTCGAATGATATGTGTTTCTTCCAATTCAAGCGAGAGCTGTGTGTGACGTTCTGCCGTTTATTCCTTGTTGCTTTTAAGGGAGCTTTCCGATGCGGATTGTGATGGCCAACTTACTCTGGGCGAATTCTGTGTCGCAATGCACTTGGTTGTTTTACGCCGAAATGGAATCCCAGTTCCCCGAATATTACCCTGTGCCCTTCTGGAGGTAATTTCTAGTCAGTCGCTGTCCACTTTGGCGTCGAGTCACCACAACGAAGACGATGCTCAGTCAACTAGGGGCGGTGACCGGTATCCTGCGTGCACCTCGGTGATGGATCGAAGTTCACAAAACCACGCCTTCTCTCCTGCTGTCCCACGCCACTCGCGCGGATCCCCAATCACCTCCTATCCGGTCACCCCCAATTTGTCACGTCAGCAGCGGCGTTGGTCGATTTCCAGCCAGAGTGACATCTCTTCCATCGCTGAGGGTATTATGCACTTCGAATCGCGGCCGAACGCGGATCCCCAGGTATACGCATATCGTTTTCCGGCTTCAAACCGTATCCATAGAAATGGTTTCATTGGGAGGTTGTTGAGCCACCTGTTTGGACGCTCCGAGATGATCTCAACTTGTCATTGTTGGGAACACTCGTTGTTTCAGAAAGACAGAACCCTTGAACTAGACCCCTTCTCGTGACCTGTCGCTCACCTGGCAAGACCTATACCAGCTAAGCTATGGTGGACACTGCTTCACGTGACACAGGTGCACCTGAATCCCACACACCTTCACCTAACTACTTCTGAAACTCCCTGATCTGCTAGATTCCATGCCTTTTCAGTAGCGTTGTAAGTAGTATATCTTTTTTAGGAGGATTCACCTAAGGAATGAGACAGCGATGAGCAGGTTCATTTTGAGATACTAGCTTAAGTTTATATCACGATTGCAGTGAAATACTCAGTACGGTCACCGATGACTTAGAAGCCCAAGATGATAGCAAAAGTTTCCGTTTATTCGAATTGCCTGTCACATCAAATGGCAGTCGATGCACTCCCAGAAGCTGTCATCTGCATTTTTCATTATGTGACAGGTGGCTTGGCCAGATCAGCAGCGGAACTGGCAGACCAACGCTGCACAAGCTGCCCTGTCTTTTGACTTGGGGCGAGACGGCCCAAGTGGTTAGAGCGCGAATTTACTAACCGGAAGGTCCGTGGTTCGAAGCCGACCTCCGCCTCTCGACTTCTCCTGTCTAGGCTTGGGCAACCTGGCAGTATCCCATCCCTTGTGTTTCCTTCGGGTGGCACGGCGGCTAGGCACCGGAAGGGTGCTACAGCTGAACACTTTTTCTACTTTAAAAACTGCTTGTCGGAACCCACGCTATGAAGGTTCAGCTTGCATTCAATTCGGTTGAATCGCGAAGAACTTCAATGCGCCCGGTTTTTGGTTAAATCTTCCGCAGGTTTCTAACTGAGAGCCTTATGAGTATTGCAATTCATCCTTACCAACCACACACACAGTTCAGTCACCAGGTTCCATTACATTTCTTTCAGTAACTTTCTCTGTGTCTAACTACATTCGCGAAATATCACAGATCACCAGTTCGGTTTCAACTGGAAACTAAACCAAATCCCTCGTTTGTAGTACCCTTCTTCAATTAAGTGTGCTGCGCAAAGGACCTCCCATGTTTCAGCTGGTACAATATTCGAAAGACCGCATTAAATTTTCTTGAAGGAACATACTACTCATAGGGCTGATGGTTCATTTCACTGCATTGGTTGAATCCGATGTGAGCATCAGATTAGCAATGCTGAGAGACGCCAGATGGTTTTAGGAAGGAGGAACTCTCACACGATGGATTTATTACTCACGCTTCATAGGTTACACTGGTTGGGGCGTGTACTCAGCATATAAGAGGGCCACCTGCCTGGCAGAGCTCTTTTCGCCCATCCTTGGGCGAATGCCATATGCCAGAGGAGTGAGAAGCATCAAGTTCTCCCCATGTTACGTGCATCACACGAAGGTGCATTCGTAGATGGAGCTGTGATGAAGTGCAGAAGGCGGATTAGATGATCGGGGAACTAAGCTAATGCCTCCGATTCGGAGAGGCGCAAACTGCGATGTTCGAGGTATGTGGTATGTGGACGATCATTCCAGAATATTGTTCGGTGGCACCACGAACAATGGTATGACAGTGAACTTGAGATAAAATCTGTTCTTCTGGAATTATTCCGGAAAGAAGCTTCCAGTTTGGTATCGGACAGAATTGTCCGAACACATGTATGTTTCTTATTAATCACGTAAACTCGCCTTTGGGTTATCAACGGTTCGAACGTAAAAGCAGCTGCTGCATGCTTTGAAATCGTTGTAAATATGAAGTTAGTTTCTTGGATGGATCAATAACTCGGCGAGGAAATCGACCTTGAGAAGATGGATTGCAGTCATATACAGAACTAGTTTTGGCATTTCAGTGATTACTGCTTAGACATTCTTCAGATAAGCAAACAATTAAGATAAGCCGCACCAAATTTCTGTTAAACCTGATTGGTCTGATGTGTGATGCATTGTAACAAAACCCAAGGCGGGACATTCGAAATTATCAAACCTCATGTCGAATATGTCAAGAACTGGCTACGGACCAAAAGAAGGCGTTCCCGTATTTGTCAGAATCTGAGCTAAGCAAATTTAGGCTTCCATCAACCCGGCGCTTCTCACCCTATCATGACGATTCTAGCCTGACCTTGTGGAAAATTCCGTGATAACCCTATAAATGCAGCTGCAACAATGGTCGTTTGTCTCCATGAGGCGTCACCTCAAGTCGCGGAGCCTTTTGGCATGCCATAGTGGTTGGAACAGCAAGTCAGGGACCGACGTGGGAGATGCAATACCGTCTGCAGACGCAACAGAAGGACAGGATCACAGGGAAAATCGTTTGAACTGATGAGATCCCGCGAAAAATTGAGACATTTAGGTTTATTGCAGCGGTAATTCCATTTCAGATGAGAGAAACAGAGAACGATGTAAAATGTTAACAGGGGTAATAATTCATCCAAAGCTTCGATTTCCACACATAATTAGGGACTTTCGTCAATGCACCCTGTCCTTGGATAACGCACTTTGAGCAGGTCCAGTCTGTGGTCTCTTTTCCCGGGTGGAGAATCTTTAGTAAGCGGATTTCCGGGATACAACATTTGGAACAGAGGTCAGCTTCAATAAAGCCTTATAAAAAGCACAAAGATCTATCCTTCGGTCGGAAACAAAACAGCAATCATTTCGACCACCTGTGTAACGGTGGATACTACTGATGAGACGTGCGAGTAGTATGTGGATTTTTCGTAAGCCCTCCTCGAATCTAATGGAAGGTGGGGTTTATTACGGAACCTGTGGAACTGCTTTGCAGCGTTCGTTTACAATTTCGTGGATAAATACCCAAAAAAAGTTCAAGAAGACGCATGATGATGTCCAGTTTTTAAAGCAAGGTGCATATGAGATGTCTACTTTCCTGTAGCTCTTTAATTGATGTTTGCTAAAAAATAAACGACTCCGCATTACATCTGTACACAGGCAGAGGTCTAGATGTAGAGGTCGGGTTCGAACACCGACCTGCCGGTCATTAAATTCGCGCTCTGTTCACTTGAGCCATCCTGTAACGTAAGCCCACTCTTGTAATGTAGTGTAGTGTTGCATCTTACTGTCACAGAGCGGCAGCCTTGCTGCATTTTATGCGTTTAGGGGATCCTTCCACCCGTCTGACTCGTTTTTTGTCATCCTTATGGGGAGAGAACTTGTACTCACTCTGCTTCAAACTGAGTTTATTCCCAACTCTTCTGCAACCGTTCTCAGTGGACTTTTATTCGTCTATCGTTGGTTGCCTGATCACGTGTGTTCGGTCATTTACGTTGACCGTTTTAACCAGTTAGATCAACCCTCTCAACCTGTTGAGCCTCTGCTCTGTCGTTCATTTGTCCATGTGCAAGACATCTTGCATCTTGACTTTGGTGCCTTTTCATAGAAAACATAGGCGATTTGGATCGTCAAGGGTGTCGCTAAAAATAGCTACTTTCGTGTGATTTCTCTGCAGATGTACTCGAGCATTAATGCGCTGCCTGTTTCGGAGCGTTGAACCTACAACAGTCCTAGAGGTAACTTCCAGTGACCATCGTTGTGAAGGCCTGTATGCCGTTACTGCAGAAGTGGATACTCCGTATACGACCGCACCGCAACGACCGTCGTTCGCGTGGGACGCAAATGTTGATCCACTGTTTTCTACGCGCGATGACATGATGAACTCTCGTCCCTTTACTCGGAAAGGCGTGATGGATCTGATGACACAAATTTAGCACAATAGAATACCCAGCAGGCCCAAAAAGTCCGTCTCGAAATAAAAGTACTCTGTGTTAGATTGGTGCTATTCTTTGACGTCTACACTCATCTGCATAACAGTTTGGTTTTGATGGGAGACTCACCTGGAACCCAACTGAATCTCTCGTCCCAAGAAGGGCGAAACCGGTCGTGGGCTCTCGAAGAGTCTTCAGCAACCTCGTGAGTAGTGTGTGCGCACATCGGACAGTTCTTGCACTGTGAATTCACGTCATCCAGTTGAACCATTGTTTTCGTGACTTTCAAGAGGTGAGTAGAAGGCTTCAGGATCCAGATCAACACTTCCATTGATGTACATAGTCAGTGGGGGGGCGAGGTGGACCAAACGGTTAGAGCGCGAATTTACCGACCGAAAGGCTCGTGGTTCGAGCCCCTCCTCACTTGGGTGACCTGGCAGTATCCCAGCCCTCATGCCTCCTTCGGGTGGCATGGCAGCTAGGCACCGTAAGAGTGCTACAGCTGAACATCGTGAGTGGAAATCAGCCTGGATATGCTCTTACCACACTGTTTCTTTTTCGATTCTTTAGTAAGCGGTCACAAGTTTGCTATTTTTCTCCCTATCAGTTGCAACATCCGATCCCACTGCGGGCTCATACCCTGCCAAGAGAAGGCACCGATTCGGAAGCTCCACAATTGTACCCAACAAATCTCGATCAAGAATGCCAGCACACTCGACTGGCATCCTCCCCACCACCGCCGCCACCTCCGAGGGCTCGGTTACAATCATCTTTGGTTGGAGAACAGCGCAAACTGTCTGGGGAAGCACCAGTTTCAATGGTTCCACCAAGTTCACAACGTCCTGGTGACAGTTCAGAAGGGAATGATCTCCTCCAGGTAAGCACTGCTCTGATGCTCCACGTTCACCTCTTGCTCTTTGGGAATATGCACATGGGCTGCCGATAGCCGAGACTTTTCTGCCGACCTTATTAGACGTGGAACGAGCGACTCAGGTTGGGGAAAACTGCATGCATTCAGTACTTTTCCGCTGGCGCTCACGATGGTAATGTTCATTTTCACGGCCAGAACCCCATCAACTTTGCCTTCCACTGACAATAACAGCTTTGGAACGCCATCAACAATTGTGTTTATCACTTTGCTGTTCTTCGGCCTGTTGGGCGAGATGGCTCAAGTGGTTAGAGTGCGAACTTACTGACCGGAAGGTCTGTGGTTCGAGCCCGACCTCTGCCTCTCGACTCACCTGTCTAGGCTTGGGCAACCTGGCAGTATCCCAGCCCTCGTGCTTCCTTCACGTTGCATGGCAGCTAGGCACAGAAAAGGTGTTACAGCTGACTGATTTTTTTTAAAATTCCTTCAGCCTGTGTACTCCGACTCAAAAATGTAATTTCAAGATTGAACAGTGAGGATGGCTGTCCCATGGTCATCTTCCAATTGCATCGAGAACATCGCGAGTAATAAATGTAGTTCAGAATGTAATGAAAGCCCAAAGCGCAGCCTCAGGAGCTGGGAACGAGGCGGTGCTATTGGTCTTGACCTCCGGTACATGGTTGATGCTGTTGGCCGCGTCTCGGTGATGTAGGCTTTAATAGATCAGATATTACTTGTGAGTAGTGGTGAGATTTTCAGTATTCGGTCACCCGCTGTTGAACCTGTGCATGTCTGTGGTGAGGTTTGCTGGGCCTGTTGGGTAGGTTCTCATTTGTGAACTGAAGTGATGCTAACAAGTGAACTTAAGTCAACCTCGTGTTTATACCGATTCTCAACCGAGTATGCTATGTAAAAACTACCCAACGGTTCGAGAGAGCTTACTGCTCGAGGCGCAAATTTACTAATTCAACTCTGACTGATCCTGTCTAGGTTTGGAGAACCTGGTAGTATCCCAGCCCTCGCACTTTCTTTGGGCGGCTAGCGAGATGGCTTAAGTTGTTCGAGCGCGAATTTAATGACCGGAAGGTCCGTGGTTCGAACCCGACCTGTGCCTCTCGACTTCCCCCTGTCTAGGCTTGGGCAACCTGGCCGTATCACAGCCTCCC